GTGGATAGCATATCCCCAACTTTGTCCTTGACTCCAAACACCCTCTGAAGGATCAAAGACTGCCCACATATGGAGACAAGACACTGAGCAGAATGGACTACATGGGGTCAGTGCTCAGACACAATAGAGAGAATTCTTTATTTTTAGATGACTGTTTGCAGACTCAGGATTAGACCGATCATTAGGTTTGTTGTCAAGAGGGATTCTCCTAGTTGTACTGGCAGGGAGTGGCTTATTCCTTCTTTCCTTGCAGTATATACACGGATCAGTCACAAGAATCATCAGAAGAGATTATATCAACTCAACTGCTTGTTATTTCTGCAGCTTAGGCTTTGCTTCTCTGCTCTCTGTGACACAAAACAGCTTCAAGTTACGTTAAAGTCTAGAAGGGTTTTGGTAACTAAAGTCTCTGGCACATAAAACAATTTAAGAACCTCTGATACACAGAAGACAACATAATTCCAGAATTCCACCCCTTTTTAAAACTAATTTAAATGTTGCATAGAATTTCTCAAGGGTCATTATGATGTTACAAATTTATTGTAGGAACTATGAATTAACATAAATTTTGTCGAACAGAGAGAAAAGATGTGTGCAATCTTTCTGAATATAGGGGAATGACACAAACCTCAAATATTTGGTTTTATCACTTCATAAAATAATTCCTAGAAGCAATTTTTCCTAATTAGCATATGCTCTTTTTATATTGATACTTATGCTCACATGCTTACAATCATTTTGCTCTCAAAATAGGAATTTGTCACATAATCAGATTCTCCTTTCTGAGTTCTGCTTGAGTCCCTAATCCAACTTGGTGATAAAACTGCCTGCCTTTATAATTATTCATCACACCAACTCTTGCTCATGGCACTTATCTTTTAAGCCCTGAATGTCTTTTTCTAAGAATATGACCATTCAAGGCAATTTTCAAGCCCAAAGCAAACACAGAACAAAAGCTAGATCTATCTTGTCATACATTCATTTAAATGATCCAGCAAATTGGGCAGACCATCACTCACTTGATGCTAACACTAATGCTTTCACTTAACACAAAAAAGACACCATTATTTCACTGTGAGTTATAAAACTGTATAATATACAATTTTCTCATTCCAGTGCTTACTGTTAGTTTTTACTACTTTTTCCAGGATGTCCTTAGGGCATCTTTGATTCCAAACTTTCTAGTACCTAGCATTTAGTCCCTAACAATAGAAGATGGGGCTGCACTATGAAAAAGTATAAGGTAAATATGAGGAAACATAGAATCATAGAATCATTTGGGTGGAAAAAACCTTTGAAATTGTGGAGTCCAACCACAACCTGGTCTCTACTAAACCACATCTCTAAGCACCTCATCGACCCATCTTTTAAGTACCTCCAGAGACAGTGACTCAACCACTTCCCTGGGCAGCCCGTTCTAATGCTTGATAACCCTTTCAGTGAAGAAAATTTTCCCAATATCCAATCTAAATCTCCCTTGGCGCAACTTGACGCTATTTCCCCTTGTCCTATCACTGGCTACCGGGGAGAAGAGACTGACCTCCACCTCGCTACAACCTCCTTTTAGGTAGTTCTAGAGGGTGGTAAGGTCTCCCTTCAGCCTCCTCTTCTCCAGCCGAAACAAACCCAGTTCCCTCAGCTGCTCCTCATAAGGCTTGTGCTCCAGACCCTTCACCAGCTTTGTTGCCCTTCTCTGGACACACTCCAGCGTCTCAATGTCTTTCTTGTAGTGAGGGGCCAAAAACCGAATATAGTATTCGAGGTGCAGTCTCACCAGTGCCAAGTACAGGGCAAGGATCACTGTCCTAGTCCTGCTGGTCACACTATTTCTGATACAAGCCAGGATGCTGTTGGCCTTCTTGGCCACCTGGGCACACTGCTGACTCATATTCAGCTGGCTGTCAAGCAGTACCCCCAAATCCCTCTCTGCCAGGCAGCTTTCCAGTCACTTATCCCTGAGCCTGTAGCGCTGCATGGGGTTGTTGTGACTCAAGTGCAGGACCTGGCATTTGGCCTTGTTGAAGCTCATTCAACTGGCCTCAGTCCATCGATCCAGCCTATCCAGGTCCCTCTGCAGAGCCTTCCTACTCTCAGGCAGATCAACACTTCCACCCAACTTGGTGTCATCTGCAAACTTACTGAGAAAGCACTCAATCCCTTTGTTCAGGTCATTGATAAAGATGTTAAACAGAACTGGCCCCAAAACTGAGCCCTGGGGAACACCGCTTGTGACTGGCCTCCAACTACATTTAACTCCATTCAACACCACTTTTTGGGCCTGGCTATCCAGCCAGTGTTTTACCCAGCAAAGGGTACACCTGTCCAGACCATGGGCAGCCAGTTTCTCCAGCAGAATGCTGGAGAAAAAGGTGTCAAAGGCTTAACTAAAGTCTAGGTACACTACATCCACAGTCTTCACCTCATCCAATAAATGAGTCACCTTGTCATAGAAGGAGATCAGATTAGTCATGCAGGATTTGCCTTTCACAAGCCCATGTTGACTGGGCTTGACCTTCTGGTTGTCCTGGATGCGCTGCATGATGGCACTAAAGATGATCTGCTCCATGCCTTTCCCTGGCAACCAAGTCAGACTGGCAGGGCTGTAGCACCCCGGATCCTCCTTCCAACCCTTCTTGTAAACAGGCACCACATTTGCCAAGTTCCAGTCAAGTCGAACTTCCCCAGTCAGCCAGGACTGCTGATAAATGATGGAAAGTGGCTTGGTGAGTACCTCTGCCAGCTCTCTCAGCACCCTTGGGTGGATCCCATACAGCTCCATAGAGTTGTATATGTCTACCTGGCAGAGCACATCACTAACCATTTCCTCTTGGATCCTAGGAGCTTTGTTTTGCTCCCTGACCCTGTCTTCTGGTTCAGGGGGCTGGGTACCCAGAGAACAGCTGACCTTACTATGAAAGACTGAGGCAAAGAAGGCATCAAGTACCTCAGCATTATCCTTTGTCACTACAGTTCCCCCTGCATCCTGTAAAGGATGGAAATTCTCCCTGGCCCTCCTTTTGTTGTTAATATATTTATAGAAATATTTTTTATCTTTTCACAGAATTAGCCGATTTAAGACCTTGTCTTTCCAAGAACTGTCTGATGATCTTAGGAAATAATTTTTACTACTACAGAAGATTCTAAGAAGTCTCACTTCACAAAATGAATACTGGATCCAAATATGGGACAGCAACCTAGAGTTTAGGTTCTTCTTCCATTAACAAAAACTTTGACAATAACTTGAAGGGAAATTTCAGGAAAAGAGAGTTGTAAAATGAAATTTTATACCCACAACAGCTTTATTTTGATCCATAAAAATGCAAAGCACATGTTCACATCTGGGATTTTAATAGCATATTCAACAAACTTGTCTCAGCTATTACTCTGCTGCATTCCTACAGAAGCAACATGATGAAGTCACAGTAGAAAACTCTGGCACCAGACGCATTCCAGATGTTCCTCTGTGCTTGCTTGAATCATTGCTTCACTGACAATACTATGATACACAGAACTTTCATTAAAATAAATGTGATTGCTAACCATCTTCTTCCCTACATTAGTTATGGCAAATATAAGGTATGCATCATGTAAAATGGGTATCCCTGGTAATTCCAAATATATTGATTACAACAAGTGGCAACTCTGCTCTAGCCAAGGCCAACAGTTGGTTTTCTGTCAAAAAAAGCAGAAATTCTGACCCAAATCCACATATAATGATTGTATCTTCAGAGATAAGAGGGAGGGTTAATGGTTCAAATTTGGGATCAGTGAATCTACAGGTATGTAGATTTGTATTTATTAATCACCTGCTTATAATAAGCAGTTTGACTCTGGATTAAACTATGATTTAATAAACTGATTTCAGGTACTTCCATCTTATCTCATAGCTTATTGAACTTGCTGAATTTCCAAGAAAGCAACTTTGAAAGAAATTATTAAAGTGTTATTTGCCAGGCTATGCTCGATTTCAAGTACTTCATACACAGCCTGGTATGACTCACAGCAGGAAGAGGACTCCAAGTTCACTTTTACTGCCTATATTTTCCAGACTACTCCTAGAGATACACATGGTTTTTGAAGATCTTGGGACAAAGATTGCAACACTGATGTTCAGTGTATGAGGAAATATTTCCAGGCATTAAGGCCCCACGTAGTCTTGCAGAAAAGGAGGCTCAAGAAAAACTATTCATCTATTTCCAGACATCAGTATGTTTCCATGGATATTGCTGGTAGCTGCTGGTGCAGATGATGATTGAACACTGAAGACAAGTATGAAGAGAAAATTAAAAGGAGAAAACACTACAGAAGTGGACATGATGGTCGATATTTTGCCTTCCAAATATCCACTTTTATTGTTCTCATTGCTTTTTGCCTTATAAAATACAATTTCTTCACTCCTCATATCCAGACAGGGCCCCTGAGAGAATGACTATGAACCAGTGAAGAGCACAGGAAGAGAAAGCTGTAGTGGATTGAATGCAGGAAAGGAAAATGGGCATAGCTGGTACCACTGTCTCAAAGGAGATTCCAATCACGTAGCGCTGGGAAAGGAGCATGGATCTTAGAAGTTACATAGATTCAGCACATAACCCCATGAGCAGGGAGTGAAGATAAGGACATCCACTCAATGAATACCAAAGTCCACAAACATCAGAGCTGTTGTTTCTGGCTGTATTTATTATCTCTATGGGATGCCCCCATTCATTCCCTTGAATAAATGCACTCCTACAGACCTCTCTCTGCCTTGTCTGCTGCAAATGGATGCAAGGAAGTGTTTTGCTTCACATTAGACCTACGTCTGCTCTCCAGCTTCTTCCTATAATATACATCGTCAAGACAGCACATTGCTCAAAGAACCAAGATAAGAAGTGGAGCCTAGAGCGTATAATAACAATGAAAATAGAGCAGTTAGTAAAATAAGTATACATGACAGAAGAAATGGAGCCTGGAGAATGTCTAACTGAAGTTGTATCTATAGCAACTCAGGTCTATGTCTGTAGCACAGATTTGCAGATGAGCCTACATTTACTGCTCAGATGACATTAATTTTTTACAAAACCCACAGTATTTTTTTTCAACATTTTCAATTTTTTCTTGCAAAAAATCTACATACTTTCTCATTTGATGCATTCCCACAGAAAACTTTTATTTTTTCCGAAATCACATCTCATCATAGAAGCATTTTACAAAAATCCTCGTTGATAGCAAAAATTTAGTCTGAGCCCTTAAATATACTTCACTCTGTTTTTACAGTTCAAAAGATCTGCTGCTTCCCATATGGTTAACATATCCACCTATCACCCAGCTCTGTTAAAATCAATCGCAATTTTTTATACTTACTTTACATATATACACACCTAATGAATTATTATTTCAGATAACTCTCTTCGTGTATTAGGTTCATGAGGTAGTCAAGCAATGTAATGATTTTAAAGAAATCAGTATATGGGTAGTAACCTACAACTGAAGAATAGCAAACACGGCTCCAAGTCAGAGACTGGTACTTCTTGTACTGATCAAAGCAATCCTTTCTTGGGCTGTATCTACATACTTAGTTGCCCCTGTATCCCTCTCCTTATGTGGCTATAAAGGGACTAGGATGAAATCTTAATTCTTTCAATAGCTATTCTAGATATTTTTAGAGACACTAACTCAACATACAATACATATCTAGAGTGAATAGAAGCAATAAACATTTCCCTCACACAGACACAAGACACATGCTTTCTAATCAAACTTATTCGTATCATGTGGATTCCTTCTTGCTGTTAAAACAGCTTTTTCCAGACTTCTCTGACATTTTTATTTTCAGTGGTGTTTAAGTAGCAAACTGCCCTTATGTAGAACACTAAGATCTCCAGGACATGGAAAAGTTTGGGTCAGAGTCACATAGCTGCCTCCTACCTCTCCCTTCAAAGGATCAATGGAATACAGGCATATTTGCATACTGCTCAGGAATCCAGGAAGGATCAGAGTGCAACCCTTCTGAGTGTCTCAAATAATAATAATTAAAAAACACTTTATTGGGTATTTTTGCTGTGATTTTCATAGCAAAAAAAAAAAAAAAAAGACTTGTTCTGAGAACGTTACTCTTAGAAGATAGATTGCTTCACCAACTATTCTGCTTTGGAGGTGGATTTTTGGCTCAGATGTGCATCACCAACTCCACAACTGATGCACCATGAGACATACAAAACAACATTCTCTTTCAAAATGCACGCATGCTGATAGATTGCATATGACAAGCAGATATTCATTAGAAAGTGCAGGCACACAGGAAAAGCCATTTCCTCATTCACATGAGAGTCTCTGATATTATTAGATTTATATCTATCTTTAATATCTTTTCATATTTTAAGGAAGGAAAGATACAAGAACTGTTAGAGTAGTCCACAGAGCAAGAGCCATTAATCAGACACACAACCTGAAGAAAATTAACTCATGTACCAAATCAAAGCCTAATCATTTGATATTAAAATTACAAATATCTTAAATGCATCTTTTCTATATTCATTACAGCAATAATGCAGCAAATGCCAAATATAAATTTATTTAGCTTGCCGGCAAATATTAATTACAATTACTAGTCGCCATGTCTTATTCCAATTAAAATCAATAGAAACTTGCTGACTGAGCGTGAAAGGAGCTGTCCCTTAGACAGGAACAGATGACAATTTGTCACATTAATTGCTGTTCTTTGTTACATCTTTCAGAGGTAATGACTGTAATTAGCTCTTCACTTCCTATAGAAAACTAGTTTCACTGCAGTAATTGCATAAAATAGGTTTTTGTATTCTTATATGAAAGAAGTCCTCCGATGTTGGCAAATTAGAGTCAAGTCAATTGAACTAAAGATTACACATGAAGTTTATATAAAAGATGAACTTCTTTTCTGATCAGTTACTGACTGAAAAATGGGTTAAACATTATAACAGCAGCTGCATATATAGGATTTAATCAAGCAAAGCTTCCACTGCAACCTTCAAATAACTTTTCCTAATCTTGCAAAAGGAAAACAAAGCATTTGAGACAGTTTACCCACTAAATTGTTATCAGTTAAGGTTTGTGTTTTCAAATTTTTCACTACTAGTGTCTTACCACATACAGAAAAATTAAAAGAAACAAAAAGTAAGGATTAAAAGTTATTGGGGGAAATTTAGTAATAACTGAGTGAAATGTAGCAGTCTATTATACATAGAAATTAGATCAGTTGGAGTTTTTAAAATCATCTCTGAACCTGAATCATCTGAACCAAAAATGGCAAAAGGTAAAAAATCAACATTGGTCCCACAGGCCCTGAAGCTGCCAAAGCACACTACTGTTAAAAGTAGCTCAACATAATAAACCAGCCATACTGAAACCACTGCCATATCTGAACATGTCAAAAATCCCTGAAATATTTATTACATGTCATCCCCTGACATGTAAGAAAAAAAATTCTATTTGCTGGTGGTGAACTGAGACACAGAGAAGCCAAAGACTAGATCAGCAAAGAACTCAGACACCTAGTTTCTGTTCACTTCCCAAACTACATACAAAGCCAAAACTAAAACCCTCAAATTTTCACTGATAATCTGGATTCAACTAGCCTCCACCACTGCTCTTATTTCCATAAATGTTATGTAAGTGCCTTGACCGTATCTATTAATTCACGATGCTTATGGGCAGCCCAAGACAAGTTATGTCCTCAGAGGACACAGATCAAGATCTGCACTTAGATACAATCTGCCAGATGGGGAAGCAGTGAGCTGCACTCTCAACACCCAAATGTTCGTTACCAAATAAACCTATGAGCAGGGTATAGGAAGTCTAGCTTCCGCTTCTTCACTTTTTTTATATATATCAAAGCATTCAATCTATACCTCATACAGCCAGGCAGAGTCCTATGCATTAGGGTAAAGTGAGAAGGCAGCTCTGGAGAGATCCAAGTATCCTGAATTATGTTACAACAGACAAGACAGTACATGAGTGCTAGTTGTGTGGTTAAGGCACTTACTGGAGTAGGTTTCATATCTTGTCTGAAACAATACAATGCATAATTATCTACTGAAACCAGTATTCTAATCCAAAGACTCCTTCTTTCCAAAACAAGTGTACTCCTGTATCTAAGTCACTCATACTTAATTTTTTCTGGTTCAGTGAAAGAGCCTCAACAAGTCAAACTGGGGGAAAACACACTTCTGGGATGTCTTGTTTCCAGAAACCTCAACTTTGGAGCACTACCGATGAGGAAAAAACTCAACTTCTTATGAATGATCTGAACTTTTCAAACAGAAGTAAAGGTGGCAACATTCCCCTGAGGTCTACCACTGATTTTTAACCAATGTGGCATCTGTAAACTTTTATAATTATTCTGAACAGACAACCTATGTTATTTATGTCACCACATTACAGGACTAAGAGAAAATGCAGGTACTGTTCACAGTACTGCCACACAGCAAGCATTGATCTTTCTTATCTACATCAGTGATTTTGCCATATGTAAGTACTAAGGAACAAAGGAAGCCTTACCATTCCCACACCACAAATGGTTCCATCAGCCAAAGGCATGTGCTGAGTACGACAACCCTTGTGAACACCTTCTGTGCTTGTGCACCATAAGCGTTTGCATTGTTTCTAAAATGAAAACAAGATTACTTTTGTTGTACCTGCAGCACCATTCTAGACACTAGTTGGGATATTTGTATTGTTTACTCAAACTATGTGGGTTTAGTGTTTGCTGCTAGTACTACCATTTTTCACAGACAAAACCCCACAGAAATCCAGAACAATTAAAAAAAAAAAAAAAGAACAAACAAACAAATCCCCCCCTCAAAAAAAAAAAAAACCAAAAAGAGAACTATTTTTATTAAGGCCAGGCAGGTATGTGGAATATTTGCAATACATTGTATTAGAAGCAATAGATAACTTCATTTTCTAATTCAGTAGAAAATTTAATGAAAAAGTATGTAAGAGATTACAGTGGATACTATGCAGGACAGTCTGAGTATAATCCCCAGATAAAATATACACACTGACTAGAAAATTAAGAACAAAGCCTCTTTTTCAAATTGTTAAAAGACTCTTAATGGACAAATAACCTTTATGGATTATGAAATTTACAAAGCTGTCTTTAGTAACACCATCTTCAGGTCTTTAAATCCCCCTTTACTTTTCTATAATATTCCCATAACACCTGACTTCTTCTAAACAAGATAGGGGCTGTAATGTGAAAAAATTTGTAAAAAGTGTTGAAAATTCCCTTTGAGTGGTTGCAGGAAGCCTTAATTTATAAAGCTTTTGATCTTTTAAAGGAATTGTAATCACATTCACAGATGTGCAAATCAAAACTAATTCATCCTACATTTAATTCTATATACTTCTAGGATATGGAGCTGCAATGGTCTTCACTGAACGTTACCCTCTTCAACAGAATAGAACTTGAAGTTTGACATAATTCAGGATAAAATTCTTTCGAAACCAGAAGTCCTGAGATTCCATTTCTAAACCTACCTGCCTACCTACCTTTCAGTAATTTTTTTTAGATTGAGCATGACTCTGTTGCTCACTCACCAGATAAGGGCACACTTGAGACCCAAGACCAAACATAAGTTCACACTGCTTGTTGACATCATACATTGATCCAGGCAGCTGAGAGGAGAGATCATATATTCTTCCACTAGGTTTGTCTAGGAGACATTCACCATAGCCAGTACTGTTGTAAAAATCAGGACAAAATGTGAATAAAACACTCTTTAATTCACTGGGAGCCTACTCACACAACACTTACACATGCACATCTCAGTGGAGTTATGAATATGCTTACATTCCTTTATAATGACTTTAATTAAAATTAATAAAATAAACCAGATCACTTCATTTTCCTTTATTGAATTTTGCATTATATCTACCAAATAAAGCTTAAGGTTTTTATGCTTTCTGGGTGTCATTTCTCATTATCACATTCTTACAGAAAGAAAAGATATACTGCCTAAATTATATCTTCCACTTGTTTTTTAAATAAAAAATTCTGAAAATAAAGTGTGCCTATTCTGACCTACTAAAATAATCCTAAAGATATTTCAATAACCAATGTCACTATATTTAAAAAAAAACTAAAAATCAATCTTCTTAGCTCTATATGTTGAATGCAACTTTAACAAAGTCATGAATCATCCAAAGAGTTAAATGCATGTACTTTTCTGGAGGGCTGAGGCCCTATAAGTCAGTGGTTAATTCTAAGAACAACATAAAAATGTTATTTAAGCAATACCTTTGAAATACTTCTCATAAAGAAATTAAATTGGAAAAAAAACCAAAAACAAAACAAAAACACCCGAACAGAATAAAAATATAGCATTATATTGATACTTACTCAAGAAATTCAGTGATATATTTTTGACTGCATTTTGACCAGGTCCATGGACTCGTATGGTAATTTAAAGTTGGAGCCATCACATGGTATTGATGTTTAATTCCAGCTTCTTTACATTTAAAACTGTCGTCATGAGGCACATTAAATCTGAAATGCAAAACAGACAAACTCCAAAACAAATTCAGCAACAGTTAATTGAAACTCTCTTTGTTGTAGCAGCAAATGTTTTGTTGTAGCAGCAAATGCTTGAGTTTTAAAATACTTTATAATTTAATGGGACTCACTTAATGTGACTGACGTTATGGCAACAGATATCTTAAAAATGCCTTACAAAATTCTCACCTTACCCAAAATGCTCCTAATCATATAATGCTGGGCACAGTAAGAATTTTACAATTACACAGTTCTTTAGCTCACCAGAAAAAGTCCAGTGTTTCGAGAGTATGCCACTTTAAACGAACTACCCGTCTCCTCCACTGAATATACAGGTCATCATTAGACTGACCATAACATATTACCCCAATATTAACATCGTAACTCTTACTATTCAGTAACAAAAACAAACTACAGAGCACATCAACATCATATTTATGCAACCAGCACATCTCAGTTTAAGCACCACGACAAGTGGCATGTATCTAAACAAACGTCCAGGCACATGAAAATCAACAAGCTAGCTACTGAGCTCTGTAATGCCATCGTTACCTACACTGTGGCATGCCTCATGGAGCTAGAGGATAGCACCTTTCTGCCATCACTGATGAGGTATGCTTCATAAAATTAAATGCTGTCATCTCCTCTTAATTTTCTGTGTAAAGTATTTCTCTTTGTGTTACTCTACTGTATTCTGAAAGGATTAAACACAAGGAAGAATATTTCTGCGTTATATTAACAATTGTCTTTTCTTAAAGGTAAATTCCTATCCGGACTTAACAGGACTACGCTGCACATCTAAGATACCTGTCCCAGTGTCCCAACCAGTTCATATAACAAAAGGACAGAATACAGCTGTGTAGCCAGTGTCTCCCATAATTCAGGATACCAACCAGCCAGGTTATAAAATTCACAAGGTCTCTACCTCTAAGTGGTGGGCAGAAGCTGCCTCACTGCAAAGGACAACAATAATGACTCTTTTAAAAGGACACAGCAGACTGTGTCCTCTTAGAAATGTACAGCCCATCACTGGAAATTGGTCATATTCAAAAGGAAGTTTAAAAAAAAATTGCCTTCTGGGAAGTAGGTACTTACACATGTCCAAGCTCATGCGCTACAGTAAAAGCAGCACTCAATCCATTTTCTTCACTTATAGAACAGCTGCGTAGTGGGTCACACATTGTACCTAGTTCTGCTAAACCTGCAAAATTGAATCCTTATATAAAAGCTTAAAAGCATGTATTTTCACATAGGAGTGACTCTATAAGAGAATACTATGGCACCCAAGTTAAAAGTCATGCCTCAACTATGCAGCAAAATAACACAAAATGAACGACCACCTGGCAACAAAGTACATGCCCGAGCAGAACAGCATTAGGAAGTTGATTTTTTGTCTGTGTGACTTTAACTTTGTGTCTATTTTCTGATTTATTCTTCATTGATTTTTCTCCCTACAGCAAAATTTTCTTACAGATTTTCTGTTATAAAATCATACTGATTAAAAAAAAATAACTCACCAAGAGTATCACACTTCTCTCTAGCTCTGCAGATATCTTCCCTTGAAGGAAAAGATTTATTTAAAATTATTATAGTAAGCAAAAGAACATTTTAAAAGTATTTCACTCTGCTATATTAATCACAGCTATTACTCAATTTTTAATCTTACAGCCCATTCAAACAATTTGCATTCTAGTGAAAGAATTAACTTAAATTCACCAGACTAAGCTCACAGTATTGCTTTCTATCCAGCTTGCAAAGAATAATAATTCATATACTATGTTATCTCTCTACAATGCAGAAGGTAGATCAAGCATAAAATGCTGCTGAAAAACATGCAGATTGCAGTATACTTGAAACTACCTTATGCAGTGTACCATCTGCCAATATAAAAACATAAAATTCAGGACAAATATCAAACAGTTCGAAGTGCTGGAGTGTTTCCAACTTGAACACCAGGAGGAAAATAATGAAAAAGAAAAGCAAAAGACAGAATATATGTTGATGATTGAACATGAGAACCTTCACTAAGGTGACTGGCGTACAGGAAAAATATATACTAATGTTTAAATGGTTTCCATTTGTAAGCTTTTGTTAGTTCTAATCACGCCTGAGCTACCAGGAGCTGACTGTCACTGCATCCTTCAGCTGATTCCATTATGTACAGCATCCCATTCCCATCACATCTATGTACAATGGTTAAATACTTCATTTGCTTGTAATAACTTCAGGTCTGTTTCCATTAACAGATGGTTAGCTACCAACATAGCACTGTCAGAGCAATTGCTCCTGTATTGATAATCAGTGGTTTGGGAAGTGCAATATAGTTTTTACTCACTTCAATTATCTATGAAAAATACCAGAGGAACAGTTAAAAAATGCTGATGTAAAAAAGAAACCGAAGCATTGGTTTCATTTAGCTGAGTTACTACAGCTATTTCAGATATTGTACCTAGTGATAAGAACAGCAGTATCATGATGAGAAGGGTGAGCGTCATCCAAAGTGTTTTGTGTTTGCTGCCATAAGCAAAAATTGCGAAGAGTGGTAGCTGCATTAAAAGTGATAGCTGGTCCTTCCTAAGCAAGAAATGGCCAAAGAAACACAAATAAGGATTTTAATATTCATGCATTTGTACTTATTACTTTGTCATTTCTACCCCTAATCTCCAAAGCAATGACTGCATGGAAAGTAAGTCAGCAGGACTTCACACAACTTCACTCACACAGATTCATTTGTAGCATCAGGTCTTAATTTAGCTGCAAGTCATCAGTCATGAGAAGTCATTATTTTAATCAATGTATGTGAGCATGCATCATGTGTTAAATATTAAAAAAATATAAAAGCATATATTTGAAGAGTGTATGATTCTTACAATCTTAAAATATTGCAGCTGTTAGGGCTGACACCCCTCCATCAAAATCCTCTATAAAAGCTGTCATTTCCCTGACATGTTTCCATGCATACAAGCACACTTTAGGTAGTTATGCCATAAGCTTTCATATGGTATCTGATTTATGTCCATTTAGGCCAACAGGAGGTGCTAATACAGAGATGGGGAAATACCAGCATCGAGGTAAAGCAATAAAGGCTCTGCAGTTAATTTCACATTTGACACTTAGTCTTCTATTTTAAAACAAAATTTTATAGTTAAAGAAAACATTTTGTATTTAAAACTAAAATAGTTTAAACTTTGGAATTACAGAGCAAATTCATGTATCATGTTTCCTCTATTAGAAATACTTTTAATATTTTTCATACCTGTTCATTGTGAATTACAATTAATTTTACAATAACTATATTTATAAGATTTCCAATACTTGAATCTTTGTAGATTGCTGCAACCTAAAAAGAAAAAAAATATTAGTATATTAAGCTCATCTGATAAATCATCTCTCTTTTTGTCATGTGAACAAGTTATCAAATAAAACCTGAGACCAAGTAATTCTGCTAATTCAATAAGGGTAGGGAGGGAGCCTGAGTTTTGGAATCCATGCTGAGAACACACTTCAGAGCAGCACAGCTATCACCCGCTTCCTTCCATACGGATCCTTTCTCATTTACTAACCAGCAAGTGTCTCATTATTCCAACGTGGGAATAAGAAGCATCTCTCAAGCACTCCCCAGAATTCAGTTAGGCATAGACACATTTAGAATAACTTTACCAAAGAACAGGTGACTGTAAAGGCTTAAGCACTACATAGGCAGAAAGGGTTATCTACATTCGAATGGAATAATGTTACTACTATCCAAACTACTTTTAAACTACCATAAATTATCAAGCTCATAATGTGTTCTTATAGTTTGATAAACCTAGAGAGGATATTTCTGGATATTTATCCTCCTCATGAATATCACAAGCAGACAAGGTATGCTCTGTTAACTGTCATCTTAGAATAACATGACACCATTATCACATTAATCTCAGGCCATGTAACTAACAGCAAGCTAGCTGTCAAAATTCCTTCAACAGTCAGCAGAGAAGGAGAAAGGATGAACTGGTGTGTAGACATGCCTATATGGAGATACATATTTAGATATGTATTTTCATACAAGACAGTAAGATACTTCATTTCTTCGTCCCTTTACTATGGAGGGATATGAGACATCTAATTTTCAGACGTATAAAGCTAGAGAAGATTAATTCCAGCACAAATATTTAAAGTATTATTTCTCTTTAGCAAAGAAGAAATAGAAGATGGGTTCAAACGGCATTCCAAAACCATGTCAGAGAGGAATCTGAAATGAGATCTGCAAGGATCTTTGGCTTAAACTGTGAAGACATTTGTCACGAGGCCTGACTGAAATGGTAGACCTTTCCTACCACTTATGCTGATATAAGAGTCACTTACAACAGAGAATTTGCTACAGCATAAACCTATACAAGAAGATTACAAGCATGTAGTGTTAATAGAAAAGTCTTTTATGGAACAGATTACAAAGCCAAATTGTTTCATGTCTAGATTATAATGTTGAAAGAGGTACTGCTATGGAAATACAGTAAACAGAATCTTACAATGATTTGCGTTGGAAGTGACCCTTAAAGATCACTTATCCAAACCCTACCCCTCTCTGCATCCACACCCACAAGCATGGACATCTTTCACTAGATCAGGTTGCTCAAAGCCCCATCCAACTTGACCTTCAATTCTTCCAAGGATGGGCTATCCACAACTTCTCTGGAAACCCTGTTCCAGTGTATCAACACCTTCATAATTAAAAAATTTCTTCCTCATATCAAATCTAAACCTAACCTCTTCCAGTTTAAAACTGTTAACACTTGTCCTGTCAACTACAAGGCTTAGTAGAAAGTCTCAATCTTATAAGTTCTCTTTATATAATTAAAGGCCACCATAAGGTCTCCCCAGAGCCTTCACTTCTGCAGGCTGACCAATCCCAACTCTCTCAGTCTTTCCTCACAGGAGAGGTACTCCAGCCCTCTGATCATTTTTGTGGCTCTCCTCTGGACCCTCTCTAACAGGTCCATGTCTTCCTTGTACTCAGGGCCCTTGTCCACGGATGCAGTCACTCTATCATAGAAAGCCACTAGATCAGTCAGAAACATCTTTCCATTAACTTTTAAATCAGTCTAATTAATGTCCTGTTTTGGAACAGAAAGTACTGAAATTCAGGAAACAGCTGCATTTCACTGGCTGTCAAGTAAAGAGCATGCAGGTCATCTGAGGTAGTGACACTTGGCACAGTGGACAAAAACCAATACAGGATTTTTCCAGTTCTACAACTGTATATATCAGGTAGAATGGGCAGAGATAGAGAACTAGATGGGGGCGGGTTAACTAGGTTCAGCTAACACCAAATAATCTCACAATTGTCTAAACTGCAACTCTCAACCTTCAATGCAATGCTGCCCCTCAGTTTCTTAAGGGTCCCCTGCACCACAGTACGTGAGAGGAAGACTCATTTCTCATCCTGCCGATTACAATGATCTGGGAAAGGGGTCCAAGCTGGAGCCTTCTTGGGATTAAAATTTAGCATTTTTCCCCTTGTTTACGGTTATTACTGTAGTTATGGATGTTCCCTCAGGTACATTAATAGTCCCCTGAAAAAAATCTCTCACTGTTGTGTACTTTCTCTCACACCAGAGACAGGTAAGCTTCTGCTAAAAATAAAAGTAACGCTGCTCTCATTTACCCTACATTTGAGTCAAAGTATGGCTCCTTTGTCTCATGATCACTGTCATGATCTCCAAACATTTCATTACTACCACTGCCTTTGAAAGATCAAAGAGCAAGACTCTGTGCTGATAATGAGATGCCCATACCAGTGAAGCAAGGTATATTCTGCAGGATGGCTGAACACGTGTGAAGAGAAAAATCCGGAGTTGAAAACCACAAGACAAAATTGAAAATTAACCTAGGGAACTGTACAGGCTAAATTCATCAACTGAGACTTGAAATGATGGATCAATGCAGGGAAATATCCAAGATTTGGAATATGAGATACTTATTTTCAGTGAAAAAAACAAAGGTACAAGTACTCTCTGCTTCTGTATTCTAAGGATACTTCTTTGAATGCTCTCTTATTGGAAGTGTTCATGAAAAAGGGTGATGAAGTGGGATAGGAATTTGATAGAATACACCATTTCTTTACAATTTCCAGATCTCCTCACTCTACAGTGATCTAAATTCACAGAACTACAAGGTCATAGCCAAAACAAAGGGAAATCAGTTTCAAGAGATTTTTCACACTCTTAAAACCAGCATCCACACCACAGAACAGTTCAGACCACACAGCAACAAAGAAAGGTAAAAGAAAAAAATGAAGCTAGCTACCCTTCAGTGGAAGGATCACAGCCTTCATTTTCATGAAATTCTCAAAGATCAAGTCAGATCTTGTCATCACCATAGTTGCGGCTGCCAGCAGACTGGAAGCAACTTGGTCACAACAGTTTAGTTCTCTTCGTATCCCTATTGTAGCTGTTTGTAAACTCTGGCAAAATGCCCTTTTCAGAAAAGGGGCTAGTAAACAAACAAGTACATCTAGAGGCTCGAAGATAAGTAAATGATACATCCAAATCCAATTGGACTTCTTCAGCTCTTTTTTCCTAAATACTGTATCATAAGACCTCTTTTTCTTTCCTCTTGTCTGTTACACACAATCATGATGCCAGGAGAATACAAACATTCATATCCCTTGAAAGAAACACAGTGTCACTTCTTAGCTCATGTCTTTCGCAGGCTCCAACAATCTCTCATTTATTTACATAGTGCTGAAAGGGTGTAAGATGCCAGGATCTGGGAGATTTCTCCTTCACCTCTTCTACTGTTATATCCCGATTCTGTGACGTATTTCTTAAGACCCTAGAATTGTCTGAAGTCATGAGATAAAAAAGTCATCACGGCATTTATTGCTTCACTGAGAGAATGAAAAAGAGCTGTGTTATTTCTGCTGGTGTTATTCTATTCTGATCCATCCATATCTCTCTACAAACCTGTGCTTTCACTGGTAGAACCTAATGCCAGCAGAGATTTCTCATGCAAACTTGCACAATTACACCTACACACATCAGAGTTACCATTTTTCCACCCGATGAGTTGTAGGTCATCTCCTGTCCCCTCATCGAAGGCCTCTCCAATCTACCATCCCCAGAGTCAACCAAGTAGATGTTCCAGATGACTCCCTCTTGTGCTCTAGTGGAGGCAAAAGGAAAGAATCCACCCCTTTAAAAGGCCGAGTCCCCCTGCCAGGAATGTCCCTTCTCTGTCTTACCTCTAACTCGGGACTGAGATGGTTGCAAAGATATCTCTTTAACATTGCACTAGCTCAGTAAATAGTGACTCAGTTATTATCAAATACAGACTTTTGATGAAAATATGCACTAAGGCATATGATCCAAAGTTAGACCGCATCAAATGCCATCATACACAGCATAGACGTCACAGCATCCCTCCCAGCCAGGGCTCCCTAGTGAGGCTTCTCCGGTCATCAGAAGCTACTCAGAGAAAGATGTTATGAGTGTTGCTAAATCCTGAACTTAAAAACTTTATTGCCTTTCAGATGCATGATTAATTACATGATTAACCTACAAATCATGCAAGTCTACTGCCTAATTTTAAATGATGACTGTATGGCAGAATCAGTAATGTCAAACATTCTGAAATGCTAGTATGCATCTATCTATGTTTTCCCAGAGTGTTATGGAAAGATGAATTGTTAAGAGTTGTATGGTATGAACTGCAAAAAAAATATGAACACATTCTTTAAATTCATCCCATATATATTAGGACAAAATCATTTGGCTGTTTTTTAATGACAGAGGCAGTGCACTGGTGCATGGGATCTTTCCACATAGAAAATATTTCACAATTGATGCTGATGATTAGCTGCCAATATGGCAAAAAAAGAGTATAAACAAGACCACAACTAGAAACATTTTCTGCTCTTAAGACCTGTTACCCCCTGCCTTACATTTTACAACTCAGTAAATTATGGTAGCCACAAAGCATTAGTGAAGCAACAGTAAATATTGCAATGTACTTCAATGGTAGCTTGATTTGCATGGATCTGAGACACTACACAAAGAACAAAGCAAGGGAGAGTCAAAGCCATTTATGTGTCATCCAAGTTAGGAACCTGTCTTGAAAATGAAAAACACCAACTTTCATTTGTAATTGTAGTGCTTTAATATTATATTATAATGACATTTTATGATTCCACAGTCTTGCTGCAAGTTAAATGACGTAAATTGATGCTGTCTCAATCCTCAACTTGAATGCACGGCTGCCCCCTCCCATGCCTCAGCTCCAGTACTCACATGTCCAGGCAAACAGCCCAGTTCACCATCTCAGCTGGCCAACACAGCCCTACCACAGATGGGTTTACATGGCAAGTTTTCTATTCAGAAAGGCAAGACTACCAAGTTCTTGCTGCATGCAGGCAAAGAACAGATCAAGAAGGTTTTCACTACCAAAGTAACTATATAAGCAGTATCTTTCTTTAAAATATGCCATTAATCAGGTACCTGATTCAGAAGATGAGGACAGTACCTCAAAATGTAGAAGGAAACCAGATCTGATGAGGTTTTGGTGCTTATACAGTAAACTCCGGTGTCCTAACGAATTATTTCAGTTGCTAGGATCAAGCCTTTGTGTTAGGGACTTCAAACTGTCACAACGTAATGTGCCTAAGATAGAGTCTTCCAGTTACTAAATCTATTAAGAGAGTACCTACCGCCTGCTCTGCTGAGGCAACGCTTGGAGGAACACAAAGGAACACTGTGAGTTAAGTGATCACAGATTTTGCTATTATTTTATTTATCATTTCACATTAAATAATGCCATTCTTTACTGTATTTCAATACAAAAGTTTTGATGAAGCACAATGGCAAAGGTATTCCCTGTACTTTTCAACACATATTTCAGCCAGAACTAGTAAGTGTAAGTACTGCAAATACTCATCTTACCACAATTTATGCAATTTTAAAGAAATGGGAAAATGCATTCTAGTTACAGTTCAATGGGATTACTTGCACGCTGAGAGTTAAGCATTTTCAGGTTGAACTGGATGAGTGACAAGACACTTAAAACACTAAAAATATTTAGCAGTATATTTCACTTCTCATTTTCTGCTCATAAAACACTATCCTATAGCAGCAAGTTTAATTTGGTGACTTTGTTGATGCTTAAAAAAAAAAATAATGAAGAAAATAAAAGAAAAATGGTCTAGGATTTCAAAGGTTCTTCTGGGAGCTAGATTTCTAGGTTTCATTAAAGTTTAATGGGATTTACATGCTTAAACTTTTTAGGTTTCTTTACAATCCAAACCAAAACTGAATATCCTTAAAAGTTTCAGAATGATTATGAGTAAAGTGTAATGCTTGATTCATTTAAAATGCCAGCAAGCTGACCAAACACAAGTACCAGTTAAATTTAACAATCACAGCTATCTGTACCATGGCAGAAAGGATAAAATTTAATAGTTTCATTTCTTCCCTTTATGAGTAATGAAATAAGACTGATAATGGCTCTACTTCAAACACTAATAGGCTGTGGGTCAAAAAATGACCTACCTGCATACTGATGAATTCTAATACAGATTACATAGGAAAACAAATGACTCTTTGTTATTCTTCACTTTTATTACTAGTTTACTGAAAAATAACCACTATGCAGAAGGAGAAGGAAAACAAAATAAGAGAATGAAGACTGTATCTTCATATGAACTATTTGATTTGTTTGACAAAGTAATATATATGCGAATAGAGTGATGTCCAGATGACTTCCAAAGATCCCTTACAACTTAAATTATTCTGTGATACTATGACATTACTGAAATGCTTCAAGTAGAAGGGATGTGAGCTAGGATATGTATTCTTGGGGGATGGGGAGGAAATTTACTGTGAAGAAATTCTTTCAGAATTAAGATCCAATTTCGTATTTTTTTAAAAGTCTGCATTTATAAAAGCTAAACATTTCCAGAAATAAAGTCTTAACAAGCTATTGTTTCAAGATTACCATCAGAAGTAGCAGATGTACATAAGGAGAAAGAGCTGCCAGAAGATGCCAGCTATATATCTTCCTGAATACCACAGTAGATAAAGATATTAAACTCACATTAAAGATGTACTGGTTTATTGTTTGCCATTACCTCAAAGCCAGCAATTACTGCTCCAAGTCCTAGTTTTACAGCATAGATAGGTAAGTGCAAGAATGAAACCACAGGCTTTTTAGCGAAGAAATCGTATTCTTTCACTCATATACATATATATGTTAAATGCTAGTTCTTAAAAACAGTTCATATAGACTCTTTTTAGCAGCAATTGTACAATGCATATCCTATTTACCTAGTAGAAGTCCAATTCTGCAAGTAAAAAGACAAAAGAAACATTGCACTGTAAGGAACAGTGGTTGAACGCACAACATCCACAGATGCAGGAACAACGTTTATTCTTCAAGAACATCAGGAATTACATCAGCTATAATCACAACAGCACCTCATGAAAATCACACAATAAATGTTCCGTTTCACCTTGTTGCAAAGTTTTGTAAAAAAGCAGCTTCAATATAAAATAATGTTTTGACCACTTCCTTTTGGTTCTTAGCACAGTTCTGTATTAAAAAACTAACTTTATAAAAATCGGCATCTTTGGGACCAGTTGTTTCTAAAAGAGTTCTAAAGGAAAAAAAACTACCTTTCAATATTCATTTTTTAAATACATGAACTTTCAGACCTTTACACCACTGCCAGTAGAAAAACTCAGAAGATTTTATCTAATGTATGCTTATCTCCCTTAAAATTTCATTATTTTTCTTATAAATCGGTTGAAGAAAATTCCACCTTCTAAATTGAAGTATCTACATCTGTGTAATAGGTGGCAGCACCTCTACTGCCATCATCTGGCAATCCAGATATTAGAGTGATCAGAACTTACGTCAGTTGTCTACCACCACATTATCTACTGTCACTTCAAATACTATATTTTAGCACTTCTTTTCCTAAAAAATGGTTCAACAGATGTCATGGTAAACCTTCTGATTTTACAGAGGTTACTGCACTAGATCCTGAATCAAGAGAAGTGTCTTTTGGCTCAAGAAAGAGTTCAGCACAGAAAGAACTCACCGAAATGGTGCCAACTCAAAGTCTGACCCATATTAATTTGCAATTACTTGAAAAACTAGGATTACTATAACCAAACATTTTTTCAGAAAGCCTTTTAACCTCTGTCTGCTGTAATTAATCCATACGTTTAACTCACTGAAGCATAGGAATTCTTCTAATCCAACAGCAAATCAGGAAATAGGTCACGGCATTTCACCTACACACCTTACTGCATTAAACTGAAAAGATCCATAAACTGAAATTTTGGCCCTACTTTTTTATGCTTATGGAATCTTTCTTTTAATACAGAATCCAATCAAACCAGGAGACAGGTAAGTTGCAGAAGAGGAAAAAACCAGAACAGAAATAACTGAAATTGCTACTACTTATGAACTTAAGTTCACTTACTATTGACATCAGTGTAAGTATGTAGTGCTGTAAATTCTGCCCGTGGTGACGAACCATTTTGGTGTCAGCTGTGACCATCACTTCTACGTATCTTGGATAGGAAAGGAAACGCTTTTTCCTGAAATGTGGATTGCCACGATCCTCTATCGATAGGTTATTTAAAGCATACTCTAAACTGAGAGACTTCTGTAAAACATTACTCTCTTCATTTAAGCTGCTGAAGGTTGGATGTAGTAAAGTGCTCTTCAACTCTTTTTCTGTAAAGTAAAAAAAACATTTATTGTTGAATGCAGTTTCTAAATTTAAAAAAGAGAAAATGGCAAAAGTTGCCCAAAATAGACAAAACAAACTTATATTTAGGAACTTTTCAAGCAAAGCAGTGCAAGAATTAGAAAAAATACATTAAACACAGAAGGCTATACTAGGAGCATCAAATCAGACATCTTGTATATTATCATATAGTTCTATCATATATGGATTCATTGTTAAAAATTATTTAAGAGAGAGCAGTATAATCCAAATAGGCAGGCTGGAAAGAGACAAGGACTACAGCATAAGCAGTGCAACAAAGAAAGCACATTAATTAAACAAATGTTTTTTGGTTTTTTTTTTAAACACACAAACCTTTGACACCAACAGAATAAATCAGAACAAACCATAACACAGACTAGGTCTGAGTCCTGAATTCAAGTCCCTACTGACTTTTTCATTTATATAACATTATATTTATAGAAATATGGAGTTTACTTCATAAGCAAGTACACATCAAAAGCCTTCAGTGACTTCCTTGACAGCTTCCTTAATATTCATTATGTAGGATCAGGTTCTAAAGGAACTATCAAACCTAACCACATACCTCCAAACCAAGTACTGTAATACTTCAAATTATGCTGAAATACTTCACATTATGGGACCAGAGGTTTCTGGTGCTTGATACACAAAATCCATACATTGATCAGAGAGTCACCTCAGCCATAGCACCCATAAAATACTTAACCAAGAACCATGTTTGAATTCTCACTCCTCTCCAGAACTTAAGCACCTCACTACACACTTCAGCCTCCTCAGAACAAACCTCCCCGGTCCTTCTGGAAGCTAGATTTCCTCTTAAAAAGTAGCTGCCAAAGGATAAGTCTCCTAATCCTTTTATTCTAATGATTCAGTGACTACAGCACTGACTCAGGAATTCAGAGATCCTAACTCTGTCACCTCCAACTCGAAAGGATTTAAATCTATGCATTACATATTTCAAGGGAAGAGCCCTGATCCATAAACTTGAAGCTACTTTTGACAGGTCAATAGTCTGTCCTCTTTAAAAGTCTGCTGAGTAATTGCCTAAAAGTCAGACACAAAATACAGCTATAATTGCAAAAACTAATTGCAATAACAATGACTAGGGGAGAATTTGGGGACTGTCTTTGAAAGCAAACTTGTACGTGAGTACCTATGTACATAAGATGTGTCCAGACTGAGTTTGATGCACTGACTAGAACTGGATGAGGCAATCTCAGATGCATGTTATCTTCACTAGGTCACAGAAGATGTCTGAGATTTCAGAGTACTGGCAAAATGGGAAACAGTATCTATATTTAAAGTGTGAGTTTAAAGACTACCTAAATTTATAGACCAACCAAGACAAATTCAATACCAGAAAAAAGCAAGTTAATTTTTGTTTATAAACACCAGAAATCAACAAGTGGGTGAGTAATAACTATCATATTTATCAAAAACATATTCTAGCAAACTCGATGATCTGTATTGAGAAAAACGGGATTTACGGATAGAGGAAATGCAGCAGATGTCCTGACTCGAGTGAGGCTTGTACCAGGGTTTCCAACTAATTTTTCATCAGTAATTTAGTTTAGAATAAACTAGTACAAAGTGAGGAAAAGATGAGTTAGACAATTTTAGAAGTAATTTTCATGTTCCAGATGTATTGAATGCTATGCCTCTCCATATCTTCTGTCAAGGCTCACTTACTAGATGTAAAAGAAACTCTCATGATCACAAGTACTGTTAGATATATTCTGTTCCTCCTTGAAGAAAGGATGTGAATATCGAGGCAAAACTAGCATTATAGGAGACAAATCTCTTCTTCAGGACAGAAATATAACACAAGGTTTTTCTCCCCCCAGAATGACAGTAATCCCTGGCTCACAATCTTTTGTAGTTGCTCCAATAAATGAAAAGGGATAAAACAACCACATTCTTAATGCCTGGAGCCTTTTTCTCATAGTACGTTGCATATGAGAATTCTATTAATAGAAACAATGTAAAAAAACCCCACCAAAACAAACCACACAAAACCTGAAAGATCTCTACTTTGGTTCAGTACATATTATTCATCATTAAAAAAAGAATCGTGAATAACAACACTTGCTTGAGTTTCAAAATACTAACTCCTTGTTCTGCTATGAACATCAATGAATAGACAGCATCAGCTTCATAAAATAGAGCTGAAGCAAAGAAATACTTTTCACCAAAGTTTGTTGAATGCAAGATGATCATAATGGTTGCTTTCTGGCCTTAGTATCTATGGAAAAGCAGAATTCTCAGCATATTGTTTCTTAGTATAAAACATGCTTTAAGAATTTTCCAAAATTAAAAACACTAGCCACCCAAGCTACACTGTTATTTTTGCAAATTATATCTTCAAAACAGCTGGACAGATATTCCTTAAGAAAATAAAAGTGCAAATTTTATTTTCCTTTTCTTCAGTTAGTCATATTTATGCATTCAGCCTTGCTTAAACATTCCTGAAGTGGAAATATATTCAAAATGCATAAATGCAGATTTCAACCCCATGAAAGGTATAAAATTTTAATTAGACAGGATGTTTCTCAATGCCAAACCGAACCAAATTTAAGCTGCTTTCTCCTATTGTGACTCTCCACCTATTTGTGTTTTCTTTGAAGCCAAACAAATGAAGCCCATATGCTTCTATCAAAAGCAAAAGAAAAGCATTTATTATGTCACCAGGCTTAAAAAAAAATATCGTTTTCAACACAATGAAAAATATTTTTTAAATGGCACTAGTATAATAGTAAAGATTAAAAAGTTAATTAATTAAAAATTGCTCAGGCAGGATCTTCAAAGTCTTCTCCACCATTACATCCCAAAGCAGATGGTATCTTGGTGTTTAGAATTAGTTTATGGACACCTACAATTTCTAATAAATCCTTTCTAATCCCACTCTTTTGTCTAGTTTTTGTACTTTGATAGTAGCTGCAGGTCCCTTTCTCACATCATACTATTTTCTGACTACAAAGATCCATGCATAACTATGAAAAACAACTACTGAAAGTTTTCTGTCCCACTAAAAACCGTATTAAAGTACAGCACTTCCTACTTACCACTCTATGGTATTAATAAAGCTTTTTTTGTCTTTCATAGTCACTTCCACTGCATATGTTCTCTCTCAAGTTACTCTGCTTAATGATTAACCTATTCACTTTGAAGCCATGAAAGTACAACCATTCAACAACTCCTGTGGACCTACTCTTGAAATGTTCACATATAGGTGAAGACATCGGTGTAAAAGTAAACCCACAGTGAAGTTCTTGCAATATCATGATTTTTAATTTTTTTTTTTTTATATACACATTTAGTCCCACATTTGAATCAGCCACTAGTAGGAACAAAAAAAAAGCGAAGACTGCCAAGCCTACGTGAAAGAAACATGTAGGTTGCAATGGAACAATCTGGAGATAAATACTGTTTGTGAAAACTAAATCTTGCTTTTTTTTTTTTAACATCTGACATTTGAAGAAGTCACATTGAAATTTAAAGTATGACTATACCTGAAACCTCACAAGGTTTATGGGATTTCTGATACTTTTTTTTAGGTTCTTCGTGCCTGTATATAAGATGTGGTTTGTTATGCTCATCTTCATGTTCACCTCCATCCGCTTTCATCAGAGGTTCTAAAAAATATTCACCATCATGTGCCTTAAAGGTGCCCATCTGAAAGTAAGAGAAGTAATTGGTTTATTTTCCACCAAAAATATTGATATAAAAATAATTTTCATTGAAATAATAAATTATTTTTGGTAATATTTTGAAATTAATTGAAGTAAATTTACATGTGAGACAGAGGAAACGTCAGTGGAAGTTGGAGAAGGAAGCTTGATGGTAAGGCAAAGAGAAGTTTGCTTTCAGAGACTTGTCCCCCCAGCTAACTCATAAAGGACTATCTTACATACTAACAATGTATCATAGATAATCACTACACAGACAATCTAGGAATAACCAAGCAGGACCAGCTGAGAACTGTGCAAAGGGGAGCAGAGGACATAACAAAATTCAGGATTTGTGTTGTCCAAATTTTAGACTGATTTGTTGCCTTATGTCCTTTACATAATTTATGTAATATCTTTCTTCTAAAATTGCATGTTGCCCATAGACTGTTTTTCATAGAAACAGTGTTAACCTGATACTCTTTTTAAAGACTTTGAAATGAGTTCCAGGAATTCAAAGTTGACAGTTTCATTAATGCATTCTTCTCCTCGCATTTCCCCCCCTCCCCATCTATAGCAGACACACATGGGTAACTATGTAATGGGAACCAAAGGAACTTGATTATTAACAAAAGCACTGGCACATGTACAAAGAAAAGAACAAAAATTAAGCTCCTTTCCCCCGCCCCCCACTCCATAATCCATTCAATTATGAAACCCTAAAACAGAATCTCTTCTTTCCCTCTGCACTGCTAACCAAATTCAGTTTCCTGTGGCTTAAGTACCTTATTTCAGGAGACGCTGAGGAGGAAAAACCAACGTCAACTTTGAAACTCAGGATTACAGAGAGTGCCAGAGAAACATACGCAAGAAGTGACAATATTTTTTTTCAAGCAACCTACAAATAGTCTTTTAAAATCTGCTGCAGACTACCTTAGTGTCCAGAGTATTGTGCTGGAATTACAACATCCCCTCAAATTTGGGATCCTTCTAGCAGTTACCAGTTTTCTGCGTTTAAAATTCTGTTAGGCTTCAGACACATGTCAGATTATCTGTAATCTTGCTCAATACATGGCATACATATCATCCAGAATTACAGTTATTGTAAACCCACTGTGATTGGATCTTCTGCACTATTTTACTCCCCTCCTACTCCTAATAGCTAAAGCAGATATTCTGTATGTTTCTTTAATGGCTTTTCCAACTAACAGGCTCTCAGATTTTACCAAGAAATGGCTACAGCTACAACAAGCATACCAATTATGACAATAATAGCACAGAAATAAAAAGAAAAAGAGTTTGTGCTACATTTCAAAGCAAACTCATCTTCCAGAATATCAGACTTCCACTGGAAAAGATGAACTGCAAGAACAAGGCTATATTTTTCTACCATTTCACGCTCCAAGGAAGAAAAATAATCACTAAGACTTATGTTTTTGAGTGAGTTTGATCACTTTGAAAATTCCACTCAGACTCCTGACCCCATACTTAAACAACCAAGTGCCACCAGAGGAAAAATCCTATCCAGGAATTCAAAACCGTGTTCATGTGCCATTATCCTGTCCAGTGGATTGCGAAGAGTCAACATGAGGCATCATGACAGATGTAAGTCAATCTAGGACTGATGATACTCCAAAAGACATATTCCTGCCTTGCTCCTTCTTTAGAGATGTACTCTCACACTTCTTTTTTTATGCACTAGCAATGGAAATCACGTACACTGTATACCAACTCCTTTGTGCAGTTAAAAATCTATGCCTCCTACCAAAGATATATTAAATATATTTCCCAGCTGAAATAGCAAAGGTCACCTGGAACAGAGAACCATTTTTCCTGGGAAAAAAGCAACTTTGTATCAGCAAGAGTTTACTATAAAACCAGACCATCAAGCAACTCAGAACAGTGCTCTGAAGTCTGCTTATCAAGCTGAGCCTAACCATGAACACACAATATAAACTGCCTGGCAGCATCTGTGGCTCAACTTCCATGACTCTATAGTTAAAGCATCCCAATCACAACTGATACATGTATCTTCACTGAAATCCAGAGTCCTGTGCTAAAAAAAGACACACTGAAGTCTTCCGGGGAGGGGGAAAAACAAAACAAAAAAAGCAGGCAATTCTCCCCTTTAACTGATACTCAGAAGTAGCAGTAACTGTGCTCATCTTCACAATAAGTAACTAGAGGAATTGCCTAAAAAGCGAAAGAATGAAAACTCCTTCAATATACCCAAGAAAATACAAAACACACCATAAACTTACAGCCAAAAAGTTAGAGAGCTGGAGGAGAAGAATCTTTTATTATTTTTCACAACCTCAGAATTTTTCTTAGTTTTTTGTTTTAAATCAAAAGATTAATACAAGAAGGCACAATAGTCTCCTGAAGACTGGAGAACCCACCTTTCCAGACACTTGAGCTGACTATTTTAGAAGAACAGAGAGAGCTAGGCTTCCCATCACTTGCTCACTCTCTGGCCCACTGCTTCTTGCACAGCAGGCATTGAGCTTGAAGCCACCAATTCCAATCCTTTAAATTCTCTATGAAGACTAAGGCTGGATTTTAATTAGCTACACGTGGTTATCTCCTCATTTTCCTAACACATAGGTCTACAAAAATTCAGCTACCAGCTACATGGTTTGTTTTCATAGTGCTTAATTCATGAAAGTGATACTTAAGCTGGTAGCAGACCCTGCTGGTACAAATGAAGCTGTTACTGTGAGTTTGGCACACGAGGAAAAGGTCCAAAAGATTCAAATTAAAAATACTTCTGGTAAAACCAAATAAACCAAAGTCATTTGGATGTACAGGGGCAGGTTGCTGAAACAGGAGCCCAAGCATTTGCAGGAAATGAAATCAGAAATGAACTGGATTTATTTATCATCTACAGATGCCTCTCAAATCATATAATAAGAAATCTGCCTGAAACAGTCTATTTCTGTTCTCAGATAAAGAGGTAAAAGTACATTTAAAAGATATCTTCAGTAGAAGCAGAGTACAAAATTGAAAACAGTCCCTTGCACATCATAAATAAGTGGCCCAAAGAGGGAGTGCTACCCAGGACTATGCATATGCATAGATTTGAGGAAATTTATGAGAAAACCCACATGAGAAGAATAAATTATTTCTGGGATTTAAAATGCTTTGGATGAGTTAGACACTTTATATTAAATCAAGGTTAAATGGATCAACACAGCTATTCATTATATATGGTATGTCTCAGTGTTTTAAAGTGGCTTAAACCGGTATAGTCTTAATCAAGGTATTTGCTCTATTGCAAGAGCAGTAGAAATAAATATTGCAGAATTTATGGTTAAAGTATGTACCATGCGCATATACGAATTACATCCTTGTGTATCATGGCAACTTCGTAGAACGCATGGTCTCAGAAATGTGGAATTAATCTGTCCAACAGCTAAGTTGGAAAGGTTTCAGAAAAATGCTAAAAGAACAACTGAAATTCTGGAAAACGCGACTCTCAAGTGGCAGATTCCCTCCCAGGTAAGCTCCAGTCCTATCCTCAAGTATTTTTCATGCCCTCGTGGTACAGCTTCTTAATTCAAACTCAAAAACCTGCAAGTGGTTTACAGCAAGAGCACTTCCATGATCAAAATGAATTACAAAATCCCTTCCTGTTACATTATTCTCTTACCTCCTCCCTTCCCTCCCCCTTGCGTTAATTCAAAGCTCTTTTGAATCATGTGAGAAGCCCTTCACCCTTTTCTTCCTGCTCCACTGTTACAATGTTTTCTAATGAAAGACTTAAGCACAGCTTAATTAGTTCACTGAAGAAAGAAGTATTAGAGGTTATCTGATCATGGTACACTGCCAACATCTGGAAAAGATACTACTACTGGAAGATAATTCAGCTAGAAACACAAGAGGTGGTGGTTCCAAGCTAATGTACTAACTAAAACTAGAGCTAAAACAAGAGAAATAAGAAAATAGCAATAAAATAATAACACACCAGATAAGCAACAGGGAAGAAATACCTAGCGATAACCAAGTGTATTATGGGGGAATACTTTTTTTAGAAGTGACTGAAAGCAACATTGTATTTGAAGTTCTTAGAGAGAAACAGAATAAAATGCTAAAAGCTTATTACAGAAAAAAAAAATCTTTCACTGTAAGTTTAACTATCATCTAACTGCATCTCCTTACAAATTCTGCAATGATAAGCTTTCCTGAGTAGATAGTAATCACACCTTTAGCACACTTAATCACATCTTGAACAGAACTGATGAGGCCCCCCACCTATGCTCAGAAGTGTCTGGAAAGGCACCTAATCACTGGTTAAACAATTAAATAATTCCAGACTGGAATTTAAATTCCATGTAAACTCCTAAAGGGATCTTACCTATTTGTATGTTTAGGTCACACCTGATCTTACCATGCTGATAACCATAGTACTGGATCCAGTGTCTTTACTGCCAATTCACTTTCACTCAGGAACACACACAATCAAAAAAAAATAAGAAGGAAAAAGCTATTTCCATTTTGCATAATGCATAGGGGAAAGAATATTCTTGCAGGAAGTATAGATCCTGGCTCTAGGTACTCTGAACATCACTTTGTAAGGCTACTGTAGGCAAGAAAGTCTGGCTGAAGCCTGGTAAAAATGGTATTCCAGGAGTTTCTAAATAAAATTCGTAACAAACCAGCTAAAAGCAGATAATTTGAGAATGGTACAGTAACAATCACAAAGACAGCTGGAAAGAGCGGAGGATCATGGCAATTAACAAGATTCATTGGAGTGGAACAATTTACCTTTATATACAATTCACAGTGAACAAAATAGACAAGTCAATTAAAAATTATGCATAGCAGCTTTTGTCATAGATATATACTTGGAGATTTCATTATGGAAAAGCAGCTATTCTGCAATACCTGTTAAAATATATATACATGAAGGGATTTTTTTTGTTTGGTTGCAAGGTTTTTGAGGGATTTTTGCCTTTTAGGGGTTTTGGTTTTAACACAAATAATCGTCAAGCTCAGTATTCCCACAGA